CCATCACAATCCGGAGATCGATGACCTACCTGGGGGTGAGGCTGGATCCGGAGTGGTCCTTCCAACCGCATTTTCCTACGTGGAAAAGAAGGCGAATCGAGTGGCCAGGTCACTGGCGCGGCTTATGCCGAACCTTCGGGCCCGGGGAGAACAGGAGGAAGCTATACGCGCATGTACTATATTCGGTAATCCTATACGGAGCGCCAGTGTGGGCGGAAACGCTCGCGACCTCCTCGCGCGCTGATACCATTGCGCAGGGCGCAGCGCACGATAGCGCAACGGGTAATCGCGGCATACCGGACCGTGTCGCACGCAGCAGCAGCGTTACTATCGAGGACTCCGCCCATTCATCTACTGGCAGTCGAGAGATGTCACATCTTTACTCGACTGAGGGAAGCGGAGAAAAGGGGCAATCTAACCCCCGAAAAAGCACGCGGAATCCGATCAGAGGAGGAGGCGTGGCTTAGAGAGGAGTGGCGGAGAAGTATCTCCGGGCCGGACACAGAAGCCGGATGGAGGACGAGAGAGGCGATTGTACCGGTGTTCACTGGTTGGCTGGATCGATCCCACGGCCGGCTGACCTTTAGAATGACACAGCTGATCACCGGACATGGGTGTTTTAGCGAGTACCTGAACAGGATGGGTAAGCTGAACACCGACAGGTGCTTCCATTGCGGGGAAGGTCCAGATACCGCACAACACACCCTGCAATTCTGCCAAGCCTAAGCCAAACAGAGAGAGGAACTGAAGAGCGTAGTCGGGGAAGATCTATCGCTCGCAGCGGTGATTCGAATAATAATCGAATCTAGGGAAGCATGGGCCGCATTCCACTCCTTTGCGGAGTTGGTAATGTGCGGCAAAGAAGACGAGGAAAGACGGAGGCAAAGCGAAGAGGCCGCGGCAAGGAGACGGCGACGCTACAACTCCGAAAACGGGGATGATGATGATGATGATCAGGACTATGACTCCATCGACGGGCAATCGACCTTAACCTCATTTTCATCGTAGGAAACGGAATGTATAGCACCACCGTTACAAAACTCCCCTCAATACCGTTAAGAGGGTGAGAAGGTGCCAAGAGCAGGAGTCAGGTTTACAAAGGCCTGGAGAGGGGCCTTAATTGGCCAGGGTGCCCAAAAAAAAACAAACGGGTGCGACCTGACAATACCGCCGAAAGTTATGCTCACGGGCGTTCCCGGGGTATTGTCGACAAGGCACAGGAGAAAGACTTGTCAACGGGGTGGGGGTTTTAGTGGGTAGTCTGTCTGACCCGTATTTCCCTTAATTGGGGTCGGGTCAGCAGGAGTCCCACACTTCCGTCAGGACGGCCTGATGGAGTGCGTAAAGGCATTTCCCCCATCCCGCGCACAAAAAAAGGTTAGGTTAGGTTGCCCCCTCGTTGTGCGCCACTTTGACGTGGTGAGGGGGCTCACCGTGGGACGGCCTGAAAAGGTCTTCTCACGGTGCTAAGAGCGCACAGTTCCTCCTATGGGGGGAACAAGGAGCCCGGCGACTCTTTGGGGACGAAGTTCGTGTCTAGGCACGAATGGAATCCCAATCGCCGGTAGGGGTTGGCGGCCCCGACTACAATCGCCCGGTTGCACGGCACCGTTAGGGGGAGGATTTACTCCCTGTCCGTGACGACGCGGGTGCTCCCGCAGGCGCGTCTCTGTTCCCGTGGGGGGCAGAGGCGCACGCCAAGAGGAGAAAACCTCTATAAAAAACATTGCGGGTGCTCCTGCGGGCGCCTCCCTGTGGTCCGGGTGCTCCTGGTCTACAGGTTGAGTGCATGCCAACCTGAGCCGGTGGCTCGGTTCCCTAATGGGGCCCGGGTCACCGGCTTCGGTGGGAGGGATGTGGGTGCCTGGCTGGTGATCAGTCCAGGTGTCCCACAAGGGTAAAGACCGGGAATATTCTCCTGGTCTTCTGAGGAAGGACAGTCAGATGTATCTGAAAATATCAGATACATCGGACTGGGTCACCTATAATCTCCTATGAGATTAAGGTGAAGGCGATGGTCCGGAGCGGATCCTCCGGGGAGCCTCTTCGGGTTTCCGGTCTGGTCCCGCGACCGGGGCCGTCCGACGCGTGGTTGGATTGGGCCCGGTCGTGTTTACTCACAGGGCAGGTCGGGCTCTTCAGCCTTGGCCGGCAACCGACCTAGGAGAAGGAAAACTCCGAATATTAACCCGCAGAAGAAAACTGTGTTAAAAAATTACAACTTATGAAATTTAATGGAAATAGATGATGTAAACTTACCACCACAGGGGGGGTCGGATACCCCAGTGGTCGGCGCATCCGGGGATATTGTCCCTGTCCCCGATGCGTCGTCATCAAGCCAAGGGCTGGCTGGAGGGTTAGTGACGAGCGCTCCAGTTCAATCTATGATCGTCTCAAACGAACAAGTAAGAGTCAACCTAATATTTTCGGAAGGAGAATACAAGGCAGACGTAATACAGACGCAAGGAACCCCTAACATGGAGTCCATGCCAGAAAGATTACCAGAGGTTACTGTGATACCTCTCAATAAACCTAAAAAGAGGGCAACCGGACGTGCAAGAGCAATAGACAAACCTGACGTCGATTACATGAATCTTGTAACGAGTTCCGATAACGCAAGCATAGCTTCTTCACAGGCAACTTGCAACACTAATAAGACAAACTCGAAACGCACAAAGACCGCTAAAAAAAGAAAATGCAAAAACAACATAGAAAGCTCTACCTCTGAGGAGGAAGAAACAATAGGTGGAACCATGCTCACATATAAACAAAGACTTGAAGCTGGAAAACTACTGCAGGACGTAGCGGACATGTCCACGGCGGAAATTGGAGCACATATAAAAGGATGGCTACGAGAGGTAGATAGTGCCCGTGCT